TAGAACTGGAAATCCTCATTGTTGTCAGTAAATGGTAACTAGTATATGTAATTGTCAGTCACATTATGTTTTCATTATTCAGTTAGTCTGCAAATTTTCCATCCATTATATCTCAAATAGTGCAAATTTACAACATCTATTTTTAGACAATTGTTGCTGTTGCTAAAAAGAAAAAGAAGTGTGAGCCTACCTTCAATAATACATGTATGTATGTGGACATTTTTTATTTTACCTCATATACCAAGACGTATCTTGGTTTTTATTTTTTGTGCTATAAATAAAAATGGGAATCCCCTTGAAACATGTTACATTTCAGTCATTGTTTTCTAGTACTTGTCAGTCACATTATGTTTATGATAGAGAGTATTCAAATTTTCAATCCATAATGTCTAAAATTGTGCAAGAATGTATATTTTCTAAATAACTCACTACATCTATTTTTAGACAACTGTTGCTATAAAAAAGAAAAGACATTCCATCTTCAATATTTTTTAATTATTAATTGCCGAAATGTTCTTGTTCATGACATATTGTAGACAGCAGTATATTCTGTAAATTCTTTTTTCAATGAATCTTACAACTGGTGGAAAATTGTCATTTTTCCTCATAATACTGAGATGTTTCTATTTATGGGTGTTTGGTGCTATAAATAGAAAAGGGAATCCCCTTCAGATAGTGTGTATTTCAGTAAATGGTTTTTAGTACTTGTCAGTCACACTATGTTTATAAGAGTTAGTCTGCATTTTTTTCCATCCGACATGATCTGAAAAAGTGCAAGAATCTTCATTTTCTCGATTATTCGAGAAATCTATTTTTAGACCATTGTTGCTATAAAAAGAAACAAGAGTCGACCCTCAATATTGTATCATTTATTGTACAAACACTTGTTATTTTTATAGGCATATTAAAGAAAGTTTTATATTTGTTAACACTTTTTCTACAAAGCTTCTAATTAGCAAAAAACTGTAATTTTTCCTAATATTCAGAGACATATCTATATTGATGTGCTTGATACTATAAATAGAAATGGGAATACCCCTCAACCATTGTCCACTCCAGCTAGGGGTGGGCAGCCTCTGTCAGTAAAATCTTAAATTTCACAATATACGTTCTATTTATCCAGCAGTGACATCTAAAACTTGTTAGCGCATACAAGTTCAGGTAAATACTCTGGCCATCTGCGTTTTTGTTCTGATGTTAAACTTCGAAGTAAATTATGCATCGTTCAATTATAACCCTCCACTTGACCATTTCCCTCTGGATGGTATGCTGTGGTTCTACTCTTTGCGATCTTGTAAAATTTACAGAGTTCTTGAATGATTGCGCTCTCAAAGTTCCTGCCTTGATCACTATGAATTCTTTTGGGTATTCCATAGTAAAATAACAATTCTTTGATTAAAATCTTAGCTACAGTTACAGCTTTTTGATCCTTTGTTGGAACTGCCTGTGTGTACTTGGAAAAGATGTATGTCATAACGAGCACATTTTCTCTACCATCAGATGCACGTTCAAGTACAGCGAAATCTATAGCTAGTATGTCTAATGGTTGAAAGGCCAAAAGATTTTCAATGGGAGGTTTTACAGATGGAATTGGTGCTTAACATACCATGCATCTTCCATATTTTTTACAGTACTGCTCAATATTTTCATTGTTGGCCAATAGCATCTTTTCTGAATAAGGGACGATGTTCTTTTTTTTCCTTGTGCCCAGCATTGTTATGTAACGATTCCAGCACGTACTGCTTTAAAGATTCTGGGAGAAGCACTTGTCGATAAGGTCTAGTTTCTCTTTCTACATATCTGTAGACAACAACATCTTCAATCTTAAGCTTGTCTCTTTGTTAAAGTAATTTTCTTACTACTTATTCTCTTTCTTTAAGTCGTCAATGGTTGGTCTTAAATTATTCTTCATCCAAAAGAGAACACGACTTACTATAGGATCAAAGCTTTGAAGAGATGCCATTTCTGTGCTTTCATATTCAGGTAGTGTCGTTGTTGCACTTTCTGGATCTGTTTGTATTGATCAGACATATGTATGTTTAATTTCAGGATCTTCTCTACAAATCTCCAATAAACTTTTTTTTTAAATTTACATTGTCCATTGTATACATACATACATGCATATAAATGTCTACAAAAACAGTATAGAATGGATTTTTTTGCACACACACACACACACACACACACATTCATACAGTCACTCACACTTATCGGATTAAGCTGGAAATATGATGAAGAAATATGAAGGCTGCTTTATAGCTGTATTTTCATTGGAATTCATACTTATGGATCTTTGTTATTTGTTTTTAGTATTTCACCCTCTCAGGAGGAGGCACAATAAATTTGCAAGACTAAGCAGACTTGTTGTAGCACAGTGAAATATCTGGCTCAACTGATGTCGGCCAGGATGAGCCTGAAGCCGGAACTAAGGACAGAGAGAGAGATGACCCGGATGCGTCAGTTGTCCACACTGGGACAGGAACAGTATGAAGCTACAGTTGACAGACAACTACAGAAGATTCGCGACATCAAAAGGGAAATTGATGGATGCATCGATAATATTAAGTTACTAAAACCCTCTAGTGAGAGCTGTATTGACGCCTTTCGACAGCTCTTGAGTTCATGCTATAGCGCATACCTTAAATGTTCAGAGGACTTTTTATCCTTTTTACAAAGCACACGAACAGTTGAAAGCCTAAATGAAGCCGCAGCACACCGTCTTATTATGGATGCTATGAGTGCAAAGATAGATGCTGTGCACCTCAGTTTAGATGAACTCTCTAATGTGAAAGACTCAAAGACTCATCAACAGTCAGACGAACCATTCGCATCACCGTCACTTAGAGCAGAATCAACCCTATCGCAACAGCTTCAAAGAAAACATAGTTCTAGCAGATTCAAATCGGGAAAATCCAGTGAATTTTCTTCAGGACTCGCCAAGTACAGCTTAAGCAGGAGTGGAAGTTCAAGTACCTTCCTCCAAAGTGTGCAAGCAAAACTAAACGCATCTTGCGCTAAGTTGAAATACGTTGCAAGGAGGTGATAATTTTCAAGGAAAGGGCGGCGTTGGATGCACAGCTAAAGCTAGTAAAGGCTGAATGTGAGATCAAAATGCGACAGAAGGAGATAGAGGCCATGAGAGAAACATTTAAACTTGAGAGGAAAGATACAGAGATGTCGTCTACAAGAAAGTTACGCACAGAAGAATATGTGAAGAATCTTCCTCACCCACAGCTTACGCAGGTTCAGCAGAACGATGCTCCTCCTAATGTGGTCAAGGAAGTCAGAGATTTTGTTCAAGACACAGAACAAGTAAACAACAACAGTGATGCACATTGAAGACAAACTCACCTGGACCCAGATGCTCCTTCTTTCACCTCTATTAGACCTCCACCTCACAGAGTTCAGATGATAACATCATCCCCTCAGCACGTTGAGAATTCTGACAATGTACATAATACCTGTGCCGTTGGAGATGCAACGTGTGATTCATCGTCAACAAATACATCTAACCAGATGACAAGAGTTACCAAGTTCTTAGTGAAAAAGACTTACTTTTGTCAGGACTTACCAAGTATGACGATAACCCGATGCTGTATGTTGCATGAAAGTTAAACTTCAAAGGGATCATGAAAGAGTTAGACACTACATCAACCGAAGAACTGGACCTCTTGGTTAGATGGTTGGGTCCAGCATCGTCCAGACAGGCCAGCACCATCCGTGCATGTAATGCAGGAAATTCAGCACTAGCTGTAAGGAGAATATGGGAGAGGCTAGAGGAGAGATTTGGTTCACCCGAGATGGTGGAAAGGAGTCTGAAAGAGCGCATTACTTCTTTCCCTAGAATCACTGCCAATGACAACAAACGTCTATTCGACCTAGCTGATCTAGTCAGTGAAATAGCATATGTGAAGGAACAACCACAATACCATGTTCTCTTTGGTTATTTTTGATTCTTCTACCGGGATAAACCCGATTGCATCAAAGTTACCTTGGAACCTACAGAAGAAGTGGGTGACAGAAGCTAGTAGATTCAAACGGCAACAAGGATGCATCTTTCCACCCTTCTCGATTTTCGTCAAGTTTATACAAGACACGGCCAAGACTCGGAATGACCCAAGTTTCCAGTTCGACCGCACAGAAAGGATGAATTCAAGTTCAAGTGTGCCAAAGAAAAACATCAACTGTGGTTGTCAAGAAGACTAGACTTCAAGTAACACTACCAATCTAGACGATTCACAATTGTGTCCATTACACAAAACAAAGCATTTACTCAACGAATGCTCAGCTTTCCGCAGAAAGCCCCTTGAAGAGCGCAAAAAGTTCATACTTTCCAATGGCATATGTTTTAAGTGCTATGGTCCTAAGGAGCACAGAGCTATGAACTGTAAGACAAATGTGAAATGTGACATCTGTAAAAAATCTTCTCATCCACGTGCACTTCATGTGGAAGTGGATTGCCACGTAGGGGAGCCCTCACCAGAAGGTACAGTGAAGAATGCTTGCACAAGTTTGTGGAACACCAAGGGGTACAAGCAGATCCCCTCTAAGATTATACCAGTTAGAGTATATCTAAAGAATGATCCACAGAAGTGTCGAGTTGTGTATGCTCTCATTAATGACCGGAGCAGTCATTCATTAGCAACATCGCCATTCTTTGACTTCTTTTCACCAGGAAGTCCCTAATATCAGTACATACTGTCTTCATGTGCAGGAAGACTTACTACTTCAGGAAGGAGGGGTCATGGTTATGTGATGGAGTCTTTTTTGACATGCAAGTTAGAGCTACCAGTCGTCATTGAGTGCAACGACATACCCAATAACAGAAACGAAATTCCGTTCCCTGCTGTTGCACAGCAGTACCCTCACCTTCAAGAAATTGTTTCATTTATACCTACTGTGATGGATGATGTTAAGATTGAACTTCTTATAAGAAGAGAAAAAAAAGGTCGATCCTGTCGAACAGTGGAATCACGTACCCACAGAGGACAATCCTGCAGATGGCACCACTCGCAAGTTTAGAACTTCAGATCTCCCAGACAGCATGGTTAAGAGGCCCAGACTTTTTCCGAAGTATCAAGGTTGATGATGTGAATGAACACTTTCCTCTTATTGATGCTGAGATTGATAAAGAGATAAAGAAAGAAGTATCAACTGCTAAGACAGTGCTTGAGCTAATATTAGGTTCGAAACGCTTTTCACGTTTCTCAACATGGAAAAGTTTAGTGAGAGCCATAATGACTGAAGATGCTTGCCAGGAAAACATGTGCCTCTCAGGTCATTGATGACACCAATTTGCTTGAGTCTACAGTAATACTCATCATCAAGGAAGCGCAATTAGAAACTTATGGTGCAGAAATCAAGGCCATTAGAAATGGCAGTGATCCCCCAAAGAACAGTCCCCTCTTACCCTTGAATCCCATCTTGGGTGTTGATGGTCTCCTTCGTGTCGGTGGACGTATCCGTAGTAAGCAAGCCAAGCCGGGTGGTGACCAGCATTCAGCCCATCCCATTATAATTCCAAAGAGCCATCATGTTGCTGTTCTGATCATTCGTCATTATCACTCCAAGATACACCACCAGGGCAGACAAATGACAGAAGGGGCTATACGATCTTTTGGTTATTGGATTGTCAACGGAAAGCGCATGATTTCATCTGAGATCCACCACTGCGTTGCTTGTAGAAAACTTCGTGGGAAGATTGGATGGGTTCAGATGGTAGACTTACCAGAGGATCGACTGCAAGAAGCTCCACCATTTACATTTGTTGGTTTAGACGTCTTCGGACCCTGGTCAGTTGTAACGAGGAGAACGCGGGGCGGTTCAGCTAATTCAAAGAGATGGGGTGTGTTATTTACCTGTTTAGTGTTTCGTTGAGTTCATGTGGAACTTGTAGAGGAGATCAGTTCGGCCTCATTCATTAATTGCATGCGTAGATTCATAGCGTTACGAGGTCCTGTCCAGCAGATTCGCTCTGATCGAAGGACAAATTTTATAGGGGCTGTTAAAGAACTCTACATTGATGCAGATTGCATTGATATGTTGTTAAGCTAGATTGTTAGATTTAAAATTACTGATTGCTAATGTGTAAAACTTTCATTTTCATCTATTTTTTAATTTTGGTATAGTGTAAAATTCAGATTGGCATGTTAGGATTGAATATGGTTCGTAACTGTCATTCAGTTGTAATTTCATTGGAATACATACTTATGTATCTTTGTTATTTGTTTTCAGTATTTCACCCTCTCAGGAGGAGGCACAATAAGTTTGCAAACTAAGCAGACTTCTTGTAGCACACATATATACACTAAAAGAACGTAACTATAACTATGACTAGATTAGTATCCTCTGTCCTTTGCAAATTTTTTAGTATAAATTCTCTGTAAATTAAGACATAAGTGTTTGACATGACACTTTTTGAAACATGGAACCCTAAATAGCATAAAATAGGATTTCTTATGTAACATATACATACAATTTTTTTTTCTTTGTGAACAAAATATTAATTTTTCCAATGGAATCAAATAAAATAATGATTTTGAGACAAGAAATTGTATAAATTTAATGAAAAAAAGAAATCAGAAAAAAATATGAAATTTCCTTTACATATTCTTTTTATTTTAACATTTGGTCATTGACCTTGTCAAACTTTTAAGTGGATTAGTGTCAAAAGTGGTTAATTCCATTTTCTTAGCTAGGTTTAGATGAAAGGTGTGCTGCAGCAGGGTTAGTAGACACATCAAATAAAGATACATCAGACGGACTGGATGTTTGACTTGTAGAAAATAAAGATGGAGTATGCAAGGGAGTGGATGTGTCTATATTTGAGGGTGGTGTAAGTGGAGAGTAAACCGGTGAAAAATGATGTGGCAGTGGTAAAGGTGAAGGTGTTCGCTGGATGGTGGTGCGTCGTCTTTTCTTACACAGATGCACGAAGGTAAAGGTCAGGACTATACATATGACACAGGAAACGGTAACTGAAAAGATATATAAAAACAAAACATTAAAGTTTGCTTAGTTGACAGGGTTCAAGATATGCTTCTGTAGTTAGTGGTAGAGATGCAATAGATGCATACTCATTTTCTACAATCCACTTCCTCAATGCCAAATTCACAAGGTTCAGTTTGTACATGTTTCATATATTTAAACCAGCTAATGCTATTCAGTATTGCTCTCTGACTAATATCAAAGTGATACTTTTTTTCTTATAACATATAGACAACCATGGGTATAATAAGAAGTAAAGACAAAAAAATAAAAATAATTTAAATTAATTTTGATGATGAATATCAGCATTTGCATAAAAAATTACCTATAACTATTAAGGTATTTTCGGGTCCGACGAGTGTCGTTAAAGAGCCCACAGGGGTATTGGTAGTCTGTTTTATCACCTCGGTGATGGAGGGGGTGCCCGAAGAACCCTCCGAGGTGATGGTGGCCTGGGTTGTAGTGGCTCCGCTACCCTCTGTGGCTGAAGTAGCAATGGCTGTCGTACCACCACAACCCTCCCTGGCTGTGGTGGCGACAGTCTCTTCTCTTTCTCTGTGGCGGTAGTGCCGGACAAGGGAAGGGAGGCGCCCTCAAAATTCTTATGGGTTTCAATTTCTTTTGATTCTGTTAAAAAAATGGTAAGATTAAAGTTTACCTGTTAATATATAAGTGTTCTTTCATATATGATATTAGTATGCATATATATATATGTAATGGGGAAAATCCCCAGCAGAAATAATTCAAATGATATTGGTTTTATGGAACCAAGTCCATCTGACTAATAACTATGTAGTTATAAATCAGTGATGATAAGCTTTGTCTCTATTTTTGTCCAGGAATTTGTGTCAGAAAAGAATGGAAAAAGGTTATATAACGTTACATAAAATCTACCAGAGAACTTTCTACATGTGTACATGAGTATAAGATTCAAAATCTTGGTAATATTCACTCTGGACAATATAAAGCCTGTGTAAGATGTGTAGGTGGATCTAAAAGGGATGGAATGTAATAACTTAGAACCTATATATTACTTTATAAGCTCTCAGGGATTGAGGGAATATCATACCTTAAAATCATATAACATCAGCTTTTACCCCAAAATTAAGAATAATTCATTCTTCAATAGCAAATAAGGTCACAATTCTGATAAAAGGAGGAAAGCCTCTCGCTATGTTAAGCAAACATAATCAATCAACATAGCCATTCAATTTCGAAGAGACCGTTCACGGTAGCTCAGTCGGTAGAGCGCTCGCTCCGTGATCGGGAGGTCGTGAGTTCGAATCTCGGCCGCGACAGACCTAAGTCGATAAAAATAGGTAGCAACTGTTCCTTCGCCATGCGCTCGGCACTTTGAAGTGAAAGTTGCGGGTCCTTCGGATGAGACCTTAAAAACCGAGGCCCCTTGTCACGGCAGGCGTTGGCACGATAAAGATCCCTCACTGCTCAATGGCCTTGAGTGCCGAGTAAAGGTCAAAATTTGAAGCACTTCACCGCTATAAGGTGACGTCTGTATATGAGTGAAAAATTCTCGAATGGGACATAAAACAACATACAATCAATCAATCAATTTCGAAGATCATTTAATAGTATTCGATGGATGAACAATAAGCAACTGTTTCAATGTACAGTATAGTTGCCACATAGACGCTAAAATAACAGAACATTACAGTTTATACATAACCTTTAAAATCTGTTACGGAGATGGCGTATATTCTTAGAAACTATTGAAAACATTCAAACCTTAGGTAAGTGGTTTACAATATTTTAACTGTCTCTGGGCATGCCTTCACCAGGGTTTTTAAACGGGATCAGTAGTACAATATCATTCATTCATTGTACTGAATTCTATCTAGACTCTAAGTTCATCATGCAGCTCCAAGTATACATTTAGTTTTGCAACATACCCACTTAAAACTTGTCATCACCAGTTTCTTCAACTGGAAATTTGTTAGCTTACAATGTACACATGTTTAACTTTCACTTTCAGTATTGCCCCCGGAAACCATGCACTGTCGTGGTATAGTATTAAGAACCAAAACTGTTGATATTTATCCTTATAAGCGTTATAATCAAAGTTATGATCAAAATGCTGCCTCTTAAATTCAACAACGGACAAAAAAAATGGCCCATATAATAGGATTTTCTGCACTCTCTACCACTATATAGGTACGAGGGGTTATCAAAAAGTTCGTGGACTGATGCGATAAAATTAATACTATGTAGCTTGTGCTTACAAAATTTATAAGGAACGTAAATCAACAAAAGTTTAAGAAATGTTGAAAATTTTAGCTTGATACGTTGACAATTTGCCAAATTATTCTAAAATTAAAAAGACATTATATGATCATCCGGCGCTGTCGCCGTTTAGTTTCATGACGTCCGACAACGTCATTGTTTTTCAATGTCCGCTCTGTCTACCTAATACACTTATCTTGATGTGATTACCTGGAGTTAAGTAAGGACTTAAGCCCGTCTTGTTTATATGACTTTACAATGTCATGAACAGCTGCTTTCAATGCATATAATATTGTAAATGAATCTATAATAGGGAAAGATCCTCACTTGGTTATGCCAGAATACTTCTAAAGCTTGTTGTTCATTTTTTACCACATATGATTAACGTCACTTTTCGACGAGACTGACTTTTGACACTCTGACTACAAATCGACATAAACTGTGCATTTTTCATCTCTCTGAATCTTTTTGGATATTTAAACGAGTACTCTGGATGCATTTTATTTTTCTGCAGCCCGTTCAAACATTCTATAGGTCTATACAAGTTTTTCCAGGTGCGAAACTTTATAGAATGTTGGAAAAAGAAACCTCTCCCCCCTTTTGACGTCATTTTCAAGCCCTTAATTGTTTGGACACTCCGTATAAAATTTACGATAAAAATTCATAGAATTTACAGAATGGGGTAAAAATTACAGATTTTACGGAACAATTGTGTTGTACCAAATGCCTGAATTTACGGGGTTTTTTGATGACAAATGCTTGAAAACAAGAGGGTTTTTTTCAGTTAAACTCCCGTAGAAAAAAATGTCATATTTGAGGTTGCGCCGCCTGGACATACCATTGCTTACAAAAACATTAACAATTTATCAAAAAATCTAACTTATGATTTATGGTTTATTCTACAGATAGAAAAGATGATGCTAACTAAATGTGTAAAAATTCATTGATGTACCTAAAGCGGTTTTAATTTTATGGCGCTAGTCCACGAACTTTTTGATAACCCCTCGTACATGTATTAAAAGAAACTTTTAGATATTGCAATTCAAACTTAAAAAACTTTATACATGTACAAGAACTTTAGTGTATATATACTCCTTCAAAGCATACAGTAATTTTCAAATCTGTTCAAACTTTGCTTCAAACTTTGAAGTAATTTAAAGAGGCCTGTATACAGAATTGAAGTTAATATTTTCTAAAATTTTCTGTATAATAACATGACTTATTTTTGCTACAGCATTTCAGACGAGAATATATTAAAAGTGTTTTCAGACGTTTTTTTTTTTATCTTGAAATTATTGAAACTACGAATTTCGGGACGCGTTTGATTGACACATCCTTACACTTTCACAAAATAAACTTTATCCTTAATATTTAAGAAAAATAAAAAGTCTGTTGTGTATTAATTAAAAGTATTAAAACTATTGTCCAGAAAATTCAGAGTAGAAATGCCAGAAAGGAACATCAACTCAAAGGTTTGTCGGTCCCTAGCTGTTCATGCAGTGATGTGTGCGGAGTTTAACAAATAGAACACAGTCGGTGAACCACAAACACTAGCAATAACAAAGCCCATGTCCTGTTTACAAAAACAGATGTTGTGTGATGTAAAGAAGAACACTGTTGTCATTGAATTCTAAGAATATTCATGTTAGTTCAAATCATTTAACTTGTTTTTATTTTTTTAATAAGCATAGAAATTTAAAATGTAAACAATAAAACTATGTCCAGGCCCCTTTAAGAACTGTGTAAGCCATTTTTACAGACAGTACCATTTTTACCGAACATACTTTGAATATATACAGCCAGCAATTATTTTGCATGCAAGTTTTAATTTTTGAGATTATCGTTGATGAAAAGAATCCAAATATCATAACTTTCTTGTATCCTCTCGGTTTAATTTATAAATTCTTCAGAATTTTCAACTTAATTCAAGTTCATGTGTATTACTGGAATGCAAAGTTAAAGATGGGAGTTGGTGGCTTGTATTTAATCCAAGTTACAGCTATATACAATACTATCAAACAAGATGTTTCTGCTTTTTCC